AAGATTTTATTTACCAGATTAGTTCTCATCAGAGACACAGTGAGTGGGTCTGGATGAAAATGGAAGGTCAAGAAAGTGGCCATGAAAAAATGCCTGACGCAGCATTATTTACAACAGCCAAGCTATGGAAGCAACCTAAGTGTACATCAATAGATGAATGGATAAAGAAGTGGCGCATATATACTAGTACATGGAATATGACTCAGCCATCAAAAGAATATCTTGCCATCTACAACAACATGAAAGGACCTAGAAAGGATTGTGCTAAATGAAATAAGTCAGACAGAAAAAGACAAATGCCATATGATTTATATGTGGAATTTGAAAACAAAATAAATGAACAAGCAGAATAGAAACAGACTTATAGATACAGAGAACATTTTTATAGTTGCTAGATGGGAGAGGGTTGAAAGGTATGGGTAAGAGGGGTAAAGGGATTAAGAAGTACAAATTGGTAGTTACAAAATGGTCATGGGACGTAAAGTGTAGAATAGGGAATTTAGTCAATCATATTGTAACTATGTATGGTGTCAAATGGGCAGTAGTTTAATCGGGGTGGTCACTTTGTTAGTTATATAAATGTCTAATCATTGGGTTGTATACCTGAAGCTAATATAATGTTGTATGTCAACTATAATTGAAAAATAAAAAATTAGAACCACATGGTTTCACTTATTTGTGGGATATAAAACTGAAAGCAATGAATGAACTAACAAGAAAAACAAATGAACAACAACTCATAGACACAGAAAACAGTACAGTGGTTACCAGAGGGAAGGGAAGTGGGGGAGTAGTAAAGGGTTAGGGGGTCAAATATATGGTGAAAGAAAAATTTAAAAAATGTTTTTAAAAGTTCAGTCCAGGAACACACATAATTAGCTATATTATAGATTATATCTGTAGCATATTATCCCAATAGTGGGATTACTGGGCCATAGAGTATATTTATAACTTTTTAAATATATTATTTTTATTGATTTCAGAGAAGGAGAAATAGAAACATCAGTGATGAGAGTGAATCACTGATTGGCTGCCTCCTGCATGTCCCCTCCCCCTTCGGGATCAAGCCTACATGTGCCCTGACTGGGAATTTAACCATGACCTCCTGGTTCATAGGCTGACGCCCAAGCCATGTCGGATGGACTATTTATAATTTTAATATTTCACCAAATTGCCCTCTCTAAACTTTGTGCCACTTTTGTACCCTAAAGCAGTATATGAAAGTAGCAGTGTACCCACAGCCTTCCAACAGAACATGCTGTCAGACTTTAGGATTTTTAAGTTTGATAGGCAGCACAGGTTTGTCATAATTTTAATGAAAAACTTTCTGCCCATTTTTCATTTTTCTCTTTATATGTGAGGGAGAGTTCAATAGATACCTTAATTTGGGTGATAGGGCTTGCTTTATACTTTCAATTTCAATAAGCATACAGTAGTCGAAAACAAGCATTTGTGACTGGAGGGCTTTGTTTTGTTTTTTAACTATAATAAATGGGGGGAGGGGACCACCTCTGTGGATCTAGTCCTAGTCAGTTCTCTGCAGTCAGTTCATTTTTCTGCAAAGAAGCAAAATCATCTAATTTTAACTGATAGGTTAAGAGTTGAATCTCCGAAGGATATTGATATCCTAACCCCCAGTACCTGAGGATGTGACCTTCTTCGGAAATAGGGTCTTTAAAGATGATCAAGATGGTCATTAGGATGAGCTTTCGAAAACAAACACTATTACTTCCTTATTCTTAAACTGTTTTAAAAATGGTTTTAGAGCAGGAGAATAAATGTAATATATAAAGACCTAGTTTTTCAATATTATAACACTCAATATTTGTAACTCATAAGTAAAATGCTGTGATGTCTGGGATTTACTTTCATGGACTTTGGTCATAAAAATATGGGTGAAAGTGAGATATAATACACTGCCTTATATATTTTCCAAATATCTTGTTAATTATTTGCTTGAAAATGTAATCAGGGTGCATTCTCATGTACTAATTAAAAAGCTAAATTTCTTTCCCACCCACTGTGTACCCAGCATTGTGGTAGGCACTGGAGATCCTGAGAAGAATAAGATAGACCCTGCTCTTTTAGGGAGTAATTGTTAGATATAGTTTTAAGAGTAAAGCAAACTACCACCATGGTCCCAGGTAGACACATTTTTAGAAGAATTACCATAAGAGTAAAGCAAACTACCACCATGGTCCCAGGTAGAAAGACACATTTTTAGAAAAATTACCGAGAGCCATATACAAATGATAAATTCATATGCCTTTAACTTTCTCTTGTAGCTTTTCACCTACTTCTAATTATGCGAATATATTCTTTACTAAGTGCTTAGTCTATCAAAGTTCATTATCTCCCTTGCCCAGCACCTGATATAAAATAATACAATAAGTCCCATTTTTATAATGTCCCATTTTTCATTTTTGTGACAGCAGCATGATGCCATGAGGATTATTAGTTTGAAATAAAAAAGAAAAAAATGACCTCTTGATTATTTGGGTTACCAACTCTAGGTTATGTTTTAATCTGTTTTGATTTTTATTTTCTGTTTATAATTCTTCTCAGGACTTTAAACAGTATTACATCAATATATCAAAAGTTCTATAAAACACCTGAAAGACATAGTTATTGGAAAAAACCCCACAAAGTTCATTCTGTAAGTGCATCATTTATAAGCTCCACTCATAAATAAAAAATTACTACAATGCTTTTAAGTTAAAGCATATCATATTTCAGATGGTGATATATAATGAATTGCTGTTTTTCATTTCTTGTGATCAATGTCTGCATCCTTTCCCACTAAATTATAGGTGGAATCATAATGTAAAGTATGTAGCACTGTAAACAAATCAATTGCAATTGATACAATGGTTATAACTAAGAATTGTATGTAAAAGAATTTTCTGTACTACTCAATGAGGAATTTAAGGAAAAATTTTGAATCTTAAAGTCAGTCACATTGTACACAGGCTCAATAGAAAGTTGCACAGCCATCTAGGGAATCCATCAAAGGTAGCCAATCTGGCAGGTTCTTATGGGGTCACAAAGGGATTTTGCTTCTGATCAGTTTGGCTGTACTCATCTAATTCCTGTTTTTTTCTAGACCATGGTTATCTCTAACAGATGACCTGCTTTCCTAACCTAATCCAGGCATTCAAAGGAAGAATATGGTCATCATTATTCAGCAATGATTTAGAAATTTGCCTTTTAATCATCAATTATCAGGCTAACCGGCCTTATATTAGTCATATTCAAAGGTTTCCACTTGTAACTTGTTATGCCATATATATAGCATATACATACATATTAGAGAAAGATACATACATACATATATATTGAATATACCTGGCTTTTCATTTACTGAAATACTTAATTCCTTTAATCAGTTCCAATAAACAGTCCATGTTTGAACAGACCAGGTCATAGATTACAAGTCTATGTTCGGTCCACAATGGTTGACCAGGACTACTGGTTCTGCGGGTATAAAGAGAAACTTTGAGGGACAAGAATGAACTGCGAAATCAGTAGGTAGCAAGTACTCAGGAGAGAAGGCAGTGACATTTAAGGAAGATATACCAAAATAACGGGGTTAGGTATACATATATCACAGTATTTTTTGTCCACAGGTCTTCTGGCAGTTCGAGAGAGAAGGTCTTCCGTTTGAGGTTGAGTAGTTTATTGTTTAGGAAAGTAGAATGTAGAACACAGCTGATAGTAGGTTCGCCAAACTTCTGATACTGCCTACGATGCTCGGAATTTACTCTCTTGGTGCCCCCAGAGCGTTTATTAGTCAAAGAGAAAATGACCCGGTACCTTCTCACAGTGTCGCTCCCGCTTCCCGCAAGGCGCACCCCGGGGACC